ACGAAAAATATTTATCGTGTGATATTATTGAGCGGATAGTCACCTAATTATCAGTTTAAAGTACATTAGGACCATTAATATATCAATAATGATTAGATGAAAGGAATTAATGATATGAAAATCGAGATAAATAGTAAACGAAGATTCAAAACATCATTAGCATGATAATTATACGCTATACAATTTTTAATTAATTAATGTATCTTCCTAAATAATAAAAAAAAATCAAGAAATATTTCCAGCAATAATTTCAAAGAAAAATTTCAAGATCAAGATATTTGACTATCTGCGCTCCGTTTAGCATTCGACTATTTGCATTTCGCGTGAAACCGACTTTAAGTGCATGCTACACGCGAAACACAGATTGCAGTAAAAGCGATTTCGCACGCAGCAACATCAAACATTACATGAAACATGAAACATTGCGAAATGTTCGATAAATGATCGACAGAGAAATATATATACGTATAGAAGAAATAGAAACTCTTGCGCGCGCGATTAAACACCAATCGATCACATGCGGAAGAAATGTTTGACAATCCGCGTGAAATCAGCTTAATGCGTAACTGTGCGCGGGGGTGGTTCTAGAAAACAAAGACGACAAGGATGAGAAGGCGACGCCATCGATCGACGTTGGATAGCAGCCTGTTTCGATCCTCCGAATGACGGCGGCCCGTTCGCCGTCGTTTATTTTCGCTACTGCCGGCCATTCCTTCTCTTTTTGTGTTCCGTAAACGGAAAGTCTATATATAAAGATCGCAGCGGGAACGTGGAGAGTTGGCTGGGTGCGCGCGACCGGGGGTTGGTAGCGGCAAGCGGCGAGCGGCGAGGGTTGAACGGGGACGGAGCGTGCGCGATGGTGTGGCCATTCGATAACGAAGGGAGGCGCGGAGGAGAGCGACGAGCTCTCGACGAGCGCGTGTACACCTTTGTGTATACATCAGGGAATTCGTCATAGGTTAGCGGGAGGTAAACGTGCGTTCGGTAGACACGACGTCTTTCTATTTATGAAAGACACACCGCGGATATGTGACGATGGTCCTGTCCGCAACCTGGAGAGGGCCGTTCGGGAGTGATCAATTCGTGCGACATGAATACGTTTCTCTGTGAGCCCGGTCTGAAATTCGGTGAGCACGGTGAGCCAGCGAGAGCACCGTAAGGATCTGGTAAGCGAGAGAGGCTTGTATTGTCCGCAGAAAGAACCACGAGAGCCTTAGTACTGTTCTCCAGAGGATTGCCAGGGTGTCGAGCTTTTATCGTCCATTGATTGAGAGAAGATCGCGAGAGACTCAAGAATATAAAGCTTATACTTATAAGGCCGCATCGCCCAAAAGAAGTTTTTGAAGACGAATTCTTTTAAAGACGAGCTCGACATCAATCAGTGATGAAAAAATTGCACTCTACCGATGATTTTACCAGGAATTCCATCAAAAAGGAAGCCCGAGATTGAACGATGATATAATTAGGCATGACGATAGATGACAGATGCTGAAAAATATATCAGGAAATAAACGTTTATCTTCATTAGCGAAGTATCAGGATGGACTAGTATCTTTCAAAAACGAGTATAATGATCTCGTGGGCCTATACACCGGACGCCGCATTCAAACAGGGTTGACAAAGGAAGTGAAGAACATGTACAACGCGAACAAGGTGATGCGGATGAATGACAGTGTCCTCTGCTGATCCTGCGTGGTATCTCCTGTAACATGAGATGGAGGACTCGTGAGAGGTGCGGCGAGATCGGATTCCGTCATTTGATCGCCCGGCCATACGCGATTCGGTCAAGGAGAACCTCGGCGCCGGGAACGTCGACGTTCGCCGCGAGGTCGGACGCGTCGCCATCGATCCGGAAGAGGAGGCTGACCGATCGTCGGTACCGGCAGACTGGCGGCTCCCCGGAACACCGGGCGTAGGGTGTTGAATCGATTCGGAGGGAGCACGACCTTCGAGTCACGTGCACTACCGACCGACCGAAAGTTGATGATACGAGCGGCTGTCGCGTACGTGAGGGATTCGAGGCTTAGGGAAAATCCGAAGTTCGAATTTCCGACTTCGTGGAAGGAAGGAAGGAAGCGAAGATTCGTCCTTGATCCACCGCGCGATATCCGAGGATGCATTTATTTCCGGCCGTCCGAGAATAATCCCGGCTTACTCGCTCTATTCTGGCACGGGTGGTACCACCCTGTAGAGCGCGAGTGCCCGAACGGGGGGAGATTTAGAATCGCAAAGGGCCTAGCTACCTATATGCCCTTAGTGACTGGCACTACCGAGTGCACAACACTTGGAGAACCGTTCGGTGGGCAGAGCCGGCGATGGCGGTTCGATACTGGCAGTCAATGACGCTGGCGTTCTAATTTTACCGCGATGTAACATCGCGCGCCGATGGCGATCGCACGGAAGAGGACTCGCGTTTTCCGCTCGATTTGGTTCGTGGATGGCGAACCGGCCAATCGATACATCACCCGACGTAGAAAATTCCGCCTTCCGAAACGCGCCGCGACGGCGACGACGGCGACTGCCCGATGTAATAAGGGCAGTTTACGTCCGTACGAGGCGCACATCGCTGCACCATACGGCACCGGGTGTATTGCATATAGACAACGTGGACGTTATCGCCCGCAAACGGGATCCCTCGCTCATGTTCTAGATCGAGTTTCTCGATTTTATGCAAATCGGGCCGGATGGATCGCGCGCGAGCGATAAAGAGAGCTTCGATCGATTCGCGGACTTTTCTACGAAGGGAATTTTGTATTCAGAGCGAGACCCGTCGATAGAGCTAGAGAGACGTGACGTGCACGAACGAGACTTTAACGCACGCAATTATAAAACGTTAGCATCGATTGTAATCACGGGACTTGCTAGAGGTCGCAATGGAGATTGTTACTTTAGTTTGTCATTTGGATTATCTCGTTCGCCTTTTCTTCATTATTAGAGCGCAATAAAAATAGGAATATTGAAAGGGACGAAAATTGGAAAATTGGAAACTGATAGTAGTTCATTTTAGAGTCGCAATAAAGATTAATAAAGTAGCGAGGGACGTACACTCGCCTTATCATCCAAGAACGAGCATCTAGCGGAAGACAGTCAGAAGACGATACGATCAACTGAGAATATCGAGGAATCCGATAACGGTGTCGGTAGCCGTTTATTTTTACAGATCTACGTGAAGAAAATAAAAATCGCGAAGGATGCGGGTCGTCTAAAAATGATGAAAACCGATAGACGAGGTGGATAGATAGATACAACGAAATAGTACATTCTCTCGGAGCGGAGAAGCGACTCGAAAGGACTCCGTTTCAGAAAGCAGGAGTTCTCCAAGATATCCTGCGCGAAAGCGCGAATAACTTCGAGATTATCCGCATGGTGTTCGCCGAATCTTCCACGAGTTCAACGAGAGAGAGAGAGTACCAAGTACGAGTACGGTTCTCGTATTCGATGCGCATGTCCAGTGCCTTGACTACCGGGACGCCTATACCTTTATCGGCGTCGCGAAGCACTATAGGGAAAGCGACACACATATCAAAGTTTTGCCGCGTATTCGCGATAAAGTCGCGCTTCGTTCACCGGCGTGATTCGCCGCGCGAGATCGGCGAGTCGCCGTCGAGTGTACGCCAAATACGAAAGTAAGAGAGAACAAGTACTGAGTGCGCGAGGAGGGGAGAAGAGGATTTCGTTCCACGAGGACGAAGAGGATTCGCGCGCGAATCTTGATACATCGGAAGCAAGAAAGAACGCGAGCGCTTAAAAGCAAATAAAGAGAGAGAAAAAGAAGAGAATCCTTTTTATTATTATATAATCGAAAAATCGGCTGTGCTGCTATTTAAATCAGAGCTTAAACGCACGCGTGAGTGCGCGCGCGCGCGCTTCGTCGAATTTTTTATTAGCGTTCGGAATCGGCTGTGCTGTTAATTAATCAGAGCTTAATATATTTAGCGTGTTACCGCGTAGTGTTCGTTCGCTCGGGGATACCAGCTGAGGGGGAGGGAGAGAAGAGATAGAAGTGGACAGCGACTTTTTTTTTCTTCGATATTTTTGCTACATCTTTTCTGGTCGCTTGTTTACGACGACCGTTCGTCGCGAGACCGAGGAGACCGAATCATTTCCGACTCTGCGAGATCAGGCTGCAATTAGCGATTCCTCCCCCGTCCCCCTCCCGTCCGATTTCACCGACTGCCGCCGTGGTGCCGGGTCGGCCGAAGGACCAACGTCGACTTTTGGAAATTTACGCGCTCGCTCCGCGCAACTTCGCCCACAACAAAAAGTAACTTCGTCGAGCAACGAAACTCGCGTCCCTGTCACACCGTGGAATCGATCGCTGACACACCAGAGACGGACAATCTCTCGTCTGCGATCGACCGCCTGTTTGTTTCCGGGCTCCGCGGTGGAGAGTGCGCCCCACCGGGGGGAAAAAACAATCCTAAATCTCTCGCCCCGAGGGGAGGGAAGTCCCGACACGAAGTCGGGACGGTCAGCACGGTACTTCCGTTTCTCGCCGCTTGCATGTTACCCGCGTGTCCCGAATACATAATTTCGAACGTATCTGTCTATCTGCCGGCGCGGCGGCAACAGCAGCAGCAGCAGCAGCAGCAGTAGCAGCAGGAGCTCATAGAAAACAATAGTAACGATATAACAGAAGAGGCTCTCAATGTTCCTCGGTGATCGAAGCTCCACACGATCGCCGCAATTATTCTCGCTCAACGTTATTCTCGATAGCCCGATACACGCCGCTCACAGAGACTATTCGATCATGTCGTTCCGTAATATCTTGCGAAAGTGCATCATGAAGACGCGTCGTATGATCATTCACGCGCTCAAAAGATGAACCGCCGCCGCGTGGATCACAATCGCGAATCGTCGCGTACGCGGATTATCGGCGCGCCCGATAAAGGATGTCGAAGCTGATTTGTCGCTTCCGTACTTGGGGCACGGATTAATCGAAAAGGGGGATTCGGAGAAACTGGAGTCGAGGGCGATCGAGGGCGGACTTCTGCGCGGCCATGACCAAGTACGGCTTCGCCAGGCTGGCTCTGTGGCGGCCGAGGCGCTCCATGACCTCGCAACCGTCGAACAACCAGGAAAACAACCCCCTAATGTATGCCACCATTGTATTTTGCACTTCAATATGTATAAAGGGTGCACCGAAAGTCGTATGTTTTCGCTTTGACAAGGAAATTGGAATTGGCTCTTCTAAAAATTCAACAAAAGATTACAATTATTTAATGTAAAAAAATCAAGAGTTTTATTAATAGAGATTCAAATAAATAACAAAACTTTACGCTTCAGTTAATTACGAATTGTCTTTAATTTAATGTTACTGTAACTAGAGGCTTGATTATCGAAATATATAGAATTTTAAAAGCTAAAAAAACTCTACAAAAATTTAATGAGAAAACGCGCGACTTTTAATGCATCCTATATATGTATTCTTTTATGCAAATAAACAATGTTATTGCTGACACGCTGTGTGTGCTTTGGATGTTGCCGTCGGTGGACTTGCTCGAAGACAATTGATTTCAGTCTCGGACAACGAAGCTAAACGTCTACGGGAATACGCGCTGCGTTCATACCCAAGAGCTCTTCACGATCCTTGTATTAGTTGTACTTAATAAACGTATCGATGTACACACCCCTACCACGTATGACCCTCCCTCTCTTACGCTTCATTTGGCTTGCTCACAGGTTGATCCACGGCACCGTCATCACCTTTTTTGTTTTCGCCGTGCGCCTTTCTTTAGCACATTTTTATCCGTCCCGCCAATCAGCGCTTCGTGTTCCTGGCTTTGTATGTGCTCAACGTTGGAAAAAGCCGAGCTTGAAAGCTTGTGCTACAGTGGCACGACGAAAGTACACGTTGCAAAGTACATATAAGTACGTTTATCGTAATATTCTAGGATCTCTCCCGCAGCTTTTCCGTGTTTAAGAAAACGAGCCATCAACAATTTATTCGAAGAAGCCCGTTTTCCTTCGCAAAAGAATAGGAACCAATCCACAATGAAATTATTATTAACCCCAATTCCATTTTCCC